GAAGACACAGCGACCGGATCAGATGAAAAATAAATGCTGCATGTTTGCATGTGCACGAACTGAAAAACAAAAAGTAAGATTTGAAATAATTTTTAATCAGAAATTGCTAGTAAATTTCACAAAGAAATGGCAAGTAACACGTTGAATAAAACGTGAAATTTTGGAAGTCTTAAATAGTATTTTCTAGTAAAACATCCCAATAATCCTTATTTTACAAGTTACAGTGTAGGCTACCCTTACGGAACAATGATGCATAAATCTCAATTTCGAAAAATTGACTCTTATGACTGGTTTTGTGCTCCAGGGTCACAAATGAGAATATAATGCAAAATATAATGTGATATATTACACAATACATTTCCATATATTGGGAACTAGTGCTAATTTTTTAGCAATATATGCATTGACAATATATGGATATATATTGATACAAACAAATATATTTAGAAATGAAGACAAAGGTAAATCTAATATTCATAACGTTTGATCCCAGCATGCTTTGCTTCTGACTGTTAATGCAGAGTAAAAATGTTAAAACGTAAACGTGTTATGTCATGTGTTTTTGCTCAATATTACTGTAATATAGGGGAGACCTGTTAGTGTTTAATGTTGTATTATGTTGAAATGTAAAAGGGTTTCTGGTATGTGTAAGTTTGTAAGGTGTGCTTATGCTATTGTAAACTAGCTATATTTTAAAATATGAAACATGCATATCATAAATGATTGTTAAATATAAGAAATATATATTTCCATGTTTGTGTGTATATACTGCATGAGTAAATATATGTTCAATATATTTTTACACATGCAGCACCATATCTTATCACATGTACATCTATAAAGTGTATAACTAGATATAAAATTACATATATTGTGATATATAAGTACATATATTGTCACATAATTTTCAATAAATGAAAGCGGCAATTCCTAATTATTCAATATATTGTAACATACTTACACAATACATTATATAATATACCGTTATGTCATTTAATATATTGATCATTCATATATTAGGAAATATATGTTCAATTCTCATTCAGTTCTTTTGTTAATCGTATCTGAAGGTTTTCTGTATTAGAAACACATGTGCTGTTTTACAGTGTTGCACTGCTAGCATTGCTCTTGCCTGCATCTGTAATGTTTTGTTTTGAGAATAACTAGTTCATTAATAAAATAAATCTTTATAGCAGTTATACCAACAAATCCCATTTTTATGTGTTAAATCAGGGAGAAACAGCTCTTTAAGATGACAGCTGCAGAGTGATGATTGTTATTTGTGACTAGATGTTTCTGCGTATCTCTGAGACGATCTTGCTTTCTCTGCGATGGTTTTCAAATGAAATCTCCAGCGTGTTTCAACATCTCGTGTATCAGATATCAGCCGCCTCCCAAAATAAATTGAGATGCAGTAATTCAATTTGCAATCAACTTGCTTTTCCGTTCTGTCGTTTTTAATTTGGAGTGTCGCAGTGCAGCAAGCGGCATATTTCTACAGTGAATAAAGGAGCTCTTTCACATATGTGAGTGTTTTAAATCCTTCCACACTCGTTTGGTTCTTGGCTGCATTTTACTGCGTACAGAGAAACCACAGGATGTTTTGAGCTGTAATGCACAGACTAAATGTTTAGCAGTTCTCTCAAGAACATGTGAGGGGTGTGTCCTCTGTTCCCTCCTGTTAAAGAGTCTGTGGGATTTTTCACTTGTTTCATCATCCAGCAGGTGAAATTTGTGGCTTTGGCTTTTGTGACCACTGTGAAAAATAAGTGCACTTAATTGTATTACAGTAACTGTGCACTTCAAATCTTTAAAGTCTATTTTTTTAAGTGCCCTTTGTAATTTCTTACTTCAAAGTACATTTTAAATAAGGATGTTTTAATATTTGTTGTCATGCTTTAAAGAAGTACACTTATTTTGATGTGTAAACTAACATACTAAGCACATGCACCCTGTAAAATTTTTACCTTAAAGGGCTATTTCTACCTGATTTCACCCTTAAAACTGTTGTAAATTTATAATCAATTAATTAGTATAAATTGATGTGTTTAGGTTGATTTGGGAATATTAAAAAATATTTTACTTTAAAAAAAAATCACAAAATCACTATAAAGTTCAACTAACTGCACTTAATTTAAACTATAATACATTTTTATTCAATCATAAGTAATATGCAATTAAGTGTCTGAAAACATTAAATTCTGTTTACAGTTGAGTACACTCTTTTTCACAAAATGCAATACGAAATGAAAATAAAGGTAGTTTTGTAGGGCAGTTTGCACTGGGTCATGGGCACAGGAATGTGGTGAAATGTAGTTTTGTGTGCAGATTTCATCAGTGGAGTTTATGTGTGAGCACAGTGGGAGAGGAGGCTTATTACCGCGGTACAGCCGCAGTCTATTTAACCCCTGTATGAGGCTGATAAAATGTTTATGTTCACTGTAAGAGCTTTATGGACTCCTCAGGCTGTTCACAATCAATGACTCTCTCACCGCAGCTCAGCACGAGCGTGTGTGTTTGTGTGTGTCTGTGTGTGACATCACGGAACCAGACTTCTCATCACAACTGACACACACACACATTTTAACAATTTATTTAAGTCCACTTAAAAGAAATAACTTACAAGGATGTAAATATTATAGATGCAGTTAGATACATGTACAAAATCATGGACCAATGGCGTGCAACAGGTCTTCACAATAAGCATATCACTCAGTTGTCATGGGTATAAATAACAGCGTCTCCGCCATGACGGCTGCCTATGATAGAGGACAAAGCACAGTACTTTGCTAGCCGTTTAGCCCTCTTTCTGGGCATCCTAAGTTGTTGAAGCCCTCTTACAACCAGCCTGTGCCAACCCTACCCCTAAACCTACCCCTCACAGGAAACTTTCTGCATTTTTAGATTTTCAAAAAAACTCATTCTGAATTATTTATAAGCCTTTTGAATTACGGGGACACTGAAAATGTCCTCATAAATCACCTTCTCGTTGTAATACCTATGTCATACCCATGTTATTATACAAATTTGTGTCCTCATAAACCACATAAACATGCACACTCAAACACACACACACACACACACACGTTTAATTTCTGGACAGACACTGAACTGTGTAATCGAGCTTACAGACAGCTTTTAAAACGTAAACACTTTTACAAATGAACAACTTTAAAGAAATCTTGTGATGTTTAGAAAAGATCAAATACATGGATTTAGGGTTCATTGTACTGTATTTATAACAAATGACATTAAATGTGCAACAGAAACAATAATAATTTCAGTTGTATATTTTTTATGTAATTTATCTTAATTGTTAATCAGTGTCTATCAGTGATACTATCTTATTAGCTGATCCTTATTATACGCTTTTCAGTTTTAATCATTAATCAAATTAATTTGAATGATTAATTACATTAATTTTTAATTAATTAATTTCTCATATGTGATTTTTATGTATGGGATGTATGATTTCAGTACCATCAGTATTTTTAAAGATGGTGAATAGAGGATTCATTTCTGACATAAGTTATATTATAAATTTTTTTTTTATTGTTATTACTTTTATGAAAAGCAAAATAAAGACAAAAAAAAAACATTAAAATGGTTCCATTACATTCTGTGAACCACTGTGACACAGTAACAAATCAGTAAATGAGTAAAATGTTATACTATAACATTACTCATGTTTACAGAGTATATTTCATACTCTGACAATAATTAAATTCCTCCATACAGTGTAAATGATTTCATTATTCTAATCTGGATTCCATTCAGAAATAACTTTTAGCTGTGAGTTGTGCTGTGAGATTGTGTGTGTTTTGACCTCCATCACTTTATCCATCCCTCTTTTGATTCTTTGTCTCTAAAGTTCTCTTATATAGAAGTGTTTGTGTATTACAGTTTTTTTTTCAACTGCTCACACATTTTCAAAACTTTGCCTCTTTTTTTAAACTTTACACACAAATCCAAGAATTGCACACACAAAATGCAAAATGCCTCACATCTCTTGCACAATGAAATACTGCGTTCAAAATATCACAAACACATCTCAAAAGCAAAATTTGTCTTACGTTGCAAACACCTTTGCCATAATATTATAAGAAACACATCAAGCATGTGTAGTTGTGTAGGTGTTCAGTGAAGCACATGTGAGGAGTTAGTGATGAATTAGTGTGCTATTCTGAATGGTTGTGTTTGAAAAAGGAAATCGAGATACTTCCTGTTAGATTTGTGTGTGTTACGTAGAGAATTGTGTGTTGTGTTTTGCAAAAAGTGTTTTATGAAATTGAAAATGGAGTCAAAGGCTGAGAATTAGTGTATGGTTTTGTAGATTTGGTGTGTGCTTCTGCTGTTTGAGTGTCAGCTTTCAGAAACTGTGTGACAAGTGAAGATTTAGTGTGTAAGCAGTTGAAAATAAAACTGTAACGGCCTTCCTCTGTATTTCAGTGACTATCCAAATGTGCATACAAACACCTTCAAATGCTAACGCGATCAGCTGGTCCTTCTGCAGTGAGAGGAAGACTTTCATCTGACTCGATATGAGATGAAACGCTGCATGTGGCGAATACGGTCTTCATAAACATCCTTCAGATCAAATTAAAAGCGACTCCATCAGCGTCTGTACTGCATGTGCTCTCTCACAGCCAGAACAAAGGTCCGTCCCGTCTCATGAAGACAAAGCGCTGATCATTCGGTGATGTCATCTTTAATTCCCGCGCGCCGCTGTCTGATGATGGCGACCCGTCTGAAAGAAACGACCTGCGCTTGTTTGTCTCGATGTGCCTGCAGGCCTGGAAGAATAAAGACATGTTTATCATTCATCATCTTACGCTGACGACCGTTTCCTTCCCTCACTGTGGACAATCGTGCCGTTAACCCTTTTGCTGCTCAAAACATTTTCATCCACAAATCTGGATTCTTACTTTTGTTAAGAAAAAAGTATATAGTGTCCTGTAACACCATAGATACCTGTTAAAGGAATAGTTGAGCCAAAAAATAAAAATCAGCTGAAAATGTGCTCCCCCTCAGATCATCCGAGATCAGGATGAGTTTGATTCTTCATCAGATTCTGACTGAATGGTTCTTTGTGGAACCAAAAATGGTTCTTCTATAGCATCTCTGTGAGGAACCTTTTGAAGCAAGTTTATTTTTAAGAGTGTAGTTTTGACCCAGCTGGATTGGGTTAAATGTTTTTCTGTTTCTTTTTAACTCAACTATTGTTTAAACATGACTATGTAACTGGGTTATAATTTTAAAATGAATACAAAATGGGTTGTAAATCTCAACTCAGTTTATGTTGAATAACTTATGTTTAAGGCTTAATTCAACCAGGGAAACACTTTATTTTAAGGAAATTACATATGCTAACTACAGCAAATTATACATAATTACAAAAACCGAGTTAAGTACTAATAATTATTATCTGCTTATACTACAGGGATATTGAATGCTTGAATCTGATTGGCTGATGAATGTTCTAGTGTGCAATTATTTTCAGGGAAACGCACAGCTAAAGTAGTTCCAGGCAGCTCTTGAGCTGTTTCCCATTTGAGTTTGCTGTTGTCACGTCAGTATCTCCTCTTAACAGCATCAGAGTAATATTTTGCGAGATTTACCAGGTCAATCTGAACAGCTAATTAGAGAAGACATCCTCAACAGCAGCCGGTTAGATTAGACAGCCATCAGACAATCCAGCATCCCGACATTAATGATTAAACACGCCAAGAGTCAATTATGATTTGCATGTTCCTTTTGATTTTCTCTCAGTGGAAACGGTGTTTAGCTGCACAGCCCAAGGCTTCAAGTGAATTGGCAAAAGACAGTGAAGCAATAAAATCTGTCCAAGAACAATATTTAAGTCCACACACTGAATATTCAAATTCAGCATGTTTTCGTCTTCCTTCAGTTTGATCTGAAGTCTTTAGTGTTTCTCACACTGAGATGTGGACACAGCTCATTCACTGAGCACATGTTATCAAGGTTCATCAGTGAGATCAAAAATAAAACACACTGACTCACAGTGACCTTAGAAACATGGATTGAGTTCAGCCGGACACTGGATTCATCAGCATGTATGTGTTTGTGTTGTGAATACAGCAGAGGAGAATGAATTATTTTCAGGGAAACGCACAGCTAAAGTAGTTCCAGGCAGCTCTTGACCGCATTACATGTCCGTATCACTTCGCCAAATGATTTCAGTTATTTCAAAGGTCCTTACAGCCTAAAATGGCAAAAAAAACAAAACCCACAACAACACTGAGCAGGGAAATAAATATAGTAAACAATAAGATAAAAATTACAAATTATTTCCATGGGTTTGCCACAAAATCACTCCACTTTGCATCATGTTCACATCACCTCCTCAGGTGTGCATTATTCCCTAATAATTCAACAGCCTGTCGTCAATTATTCGTAATGAAAACTGGGAAATACTATGGTGTAGAAGTAAGTCTACATAATCCTTTCAGTTTGCTACACAAATCAGGCAAAATTATAAACTTCTACATTACTATAATTAGTGTTGGGGAAAGTTACTTTTAAAAGTAATGCATTACAAAATTGCGTTATTCCCCGAAAAAGTAACTAATCGCATTACTTAGTTACTTTTTTATTAAAAGTAATGCGTTACATTACTTTTGTGTTACTTTTTTCTCATCTGGCATGGGCTTGCTTGTTTGTTTTTATTATAAAAAGTTATATTTTTGGCAAATTTAAAAGCACTTTCACACCAAAAGTGAAATGAATAAGCCTAAGGCTGAAACACAAATGTTGTTTATCTAATGTCATTTTTGCTTGTTAGTATGGTTGAATTGGATCATCAAAGGTCAGCAGTAAAGACATTGGCTAATAAAATGGGATTAAATACTTAAAGGATATTTCTGATATTTAACATATTTAATTATCGCAGGTTTGTGTCATATTCTGAGTTTATAAATTTTTTTATTCATCTGTTTTTGTTCAAGTGAGATGAGAACTACAGTAACATGTTCACACAGCGCACACAACGCTCTGCACTTACTCCTGATTTCTGTCACCATGGCAACACCAGAGCTGTCACTCAATACATGGAAACAAAGTAACTGGCGTTACTTATTTGAAAAAGTAATTCATTGTAAATTAAAAAGTAATGCATTACTTTACTAGTTACTTGAAAAAATAATCTGATTACTGATTACCCACAACACCGACTATAATGTAATATTAATACTCAACTTAAAATGCAAGCTTGGATGCACAAGTTGTTGAGTTTATAGAATGCATTAGTTGAAAGGATAGTCTAACTTTAAATTTTAAGTTGACACAACTTTTTTTTTTCTCAGAAAAGCTCTGAAATGATTGGCCTCAAGTTTTTAAGTTTTTCCTACTTGTGAGCGATTCGGCAGAAGGTGTTTAGCGCTGAAGCCCAGTGGAACGTGTGGATTGTTTTTTCTGTCTCAGGTCTGTGGGTGCCGCTGGTATTGAGAAATAACTCTGTCAATGCACAGCACTCCGACTACCAGCATCATTCCAGCGTCACGCGGCGCTCCATCATTTCCTCCGTCTGTCTGTCTGCCGGCCTTGACCGTCTCCGGGAAGAGGGAATTCCCTAATTCCTGCCTGGAAATGGAGCAGACTGTGAGTGAAGCGAGGATGGCTTCACAAGAACCCACAGGCCTGTGCGCAGGTCATTCATAACGTGTGTTTTAAGTGGGGCGAGCGTGACTTTCCAATGTTTTTGCCCATCCGTCAAACTCTCGCGTGGGACAGCGCTCTCGATTGGGACGGAGCAAACAGAGCTGCCCTACATTACTTCTCTCAACAGGTCCAGCGTCTCACAGCCGCTTTCATTTCCCATCTCCGTACGGGGGGATCGCACTTAGAGAATTTACATCGCTTCATGCGGCACAAAACTGATTAAAACCACTTATTGTGGGCTCTCAAGAAAAATGGCCATCGAGCCAACATTCGTATCCTCAGCGGGCTAAATAAGTTTCCATTGGCCTTTCTCTGGAAGCGCCGCTCTTATTCTTTTACGACGACATATTGTGTCAATTAGTCACCGAGGCCATTCCCAGACACATCCTATAAACTTGCCTTATTCAGTGTCTTCATCACTAGTCTTTGTTTAACATTTATGTTTATTGATACATGAAGATACATTTAAATAATTCAGGGCAAGCATTAGCCGTGAGGTGGCTTATTAATAATTGATAGGCTGTGGAATGGGCCGTGGCACTCTGGGAATTGATGATATTGTAGTAATGCAGGGCTGCAGCACGTGTAATGGATCTGCCTGCTTTAACTGATGATGGTTATTGTGGCTCAAAGATGCTCCGAAGGCGTTCTGGGTGGGGTTTGACTTACACTCGGCACATAGGAGCTGACACTGCAAATTGTGGCTTTAATAGCAGGGGTTCGTGCGCTCTACCGAGGGCCCTTAATGGACCGCGCCACGATTAGTGCGAGGAGAAGAAATGCATGCGGTGATATTAAAGGAAATCCAAGAGCATCCTCTGAGTTCCTCTGTCAGGCGTTCCTTCGTCTCCTGCCTCTGATCTGCTTCTTCAGTGCTGAAATGCTGTGTCCGGTCAGTCCTGAACATTTGTGCCATTCAGACGCACACTCAAACACAAACTCAACTGACAGACGCAAACAGAGAAAATATTTGCAAATGTCTGGCAACACAACTCTTCACATTAAGATTTCTGCCGTTTGAATTGTAAATTAAATTGAATGAAGTCTCTGAATCATCGCAGTATGATATTTCAGAGTTGAAAATCTGGACATTGCTTCGGGGTTATTACAGTTAACGAAAACTAGACACACACACACACACACACACACACACACACTCTCACACACTCACACTCTCACACTCTCTCTCACACACACACACACACACACACACACACACAC